AGGGGGTCTGAATACTTTCCGTACCCACTGTATATATAAATCTTTACAAGCTGAGATGAAAGACACTTAAGAATAACTTTTAACTAACAGGACTGATCTCCCATCTAAATCAATTTTCACTCTTCTAAAATTGAACATGAAATTGGTGTCTGACAGTTCAGCTAGATGTCATTTGATTTTATTATTGAAAATATTATTACTAAATATATTTAAGTATCTGTAATTAAGAATATAAAGAGCACATAAAATATTTTACCCCAGTGCTTTTTATTTTTAAGTTAGTGTCAGCATAAAAACTATATTTTTCTAGATTAAATTCATAAAATGCATGACACAAATCATTTTAAAAATCTATTGGAAATTAATTCATCTATTTATTACAGGAACTGCTCATATTTATGACTCTATTGATGCAACCATTAATAAAGACATAAACACAGGTAACGAATGTCATTTAAAGGATTTAATGTCATAATATTTTATTGAAACAGTTATTTTCTAAAGAAATTGGAAATCAAAATTTCCACTGTGGAAATCACTGTGATATTTGCAGAGAAAATCAAGTTAAATAAAGTGTTTTATTAATTTCTCTATTTTTTATTGTAGACCGTGAAAGTGGGCCTACTGAACTCACCTATGCTGAGATTGAACACAAATCTACTAAGAAACAGAAGAAAAAGAAAGAAAACAAAGGTAAACCAAAACAAAAGTCTCTGTTCTATTGATTTTATGATCATAGCAGTAGCTCCCTTTGATTTAAATTTCTCCCACAACTCTAAATAGTAACAAAAATCACGAAAGTATTTTCCGAAACATCTGTTTGTGTCTGTTCACTGTGAAATTCAGCTGATCCATTAAGGTCATTTCATGCAGATCACAATGTTTATTTAGACTTAATTTGGTTTAACATGTAATCATTTTAAAATAAAATAATTATTCATGTATTTCATATCACTGTTGGAAACACATAACTACTAGTGATATTAACTGTTGGCATCTTCTAGGGAACAACACTGAGAGTTGTGTCTGTGTTTACTCTAAACTGAAGTTGGAAATGGATCAAGGTGAGTGTAAAACTAAAATCATCAATCACACTTCACAAGAAAACTGTATCTACTAGTATCATTAGGAAACTAAGAATAGAATGGAATACTGTATATAGAAACAACAAAATAAAAAGTGCATTCTGAATGAATGTATGTATTTTCAGGTGCTGGATCTAATGATGTGACGTATGCTCAGATTAAATAAATGCCTGGAGGAGAAACTTTCAATCCAAAGACGCTGTTGAGTTTAGGATGAGAAGGGCTGGAGAATGACCAGGATCATCAATGCTTTATCATCCTTGTGATACTGAGCACTTGATGGCAATAGATTTAACAGTTTTAATATTAGTGATGCTGCCTTCATGTGCTGATTATAGGAAACAGGAACATTTCATTTAGTTCTGCACAGTGTAAACATATGACCCAATGTACTGTTAATATGAATTTTCACAGGTGTGTTTTACCCATAATTTGAATTTAAATTTGCATTACATTATGTTGTGTTTAAGGGTTAAAGGATTTTTCTGTAAACCTACTCTATAGCCTTGCTTGTGTTTGTGGATTGTTTAAAAACTGGACACTTTGCCAGTTGTGATATATATGTTAAATATTGCAGTTTAGATGCTTTTGTTGTGGTTAGACTACATTTATTTTGGGCATTTGGAAGCAAAACTTGCATCGTTACAAATGTAATTGTTTGTGTGTACATATGATTTATATTAGCTGTGTCCTTAAAATAAACATATTAAACACATACATTAAACGGTGCGTTTACACTGCAGTGGACTGAGTGGAGCAGAGTGGGCATTTTCAATTGATTCCTATGAAAGTCTTTGCTCACGCAGTGAATTATAATATTGACAGTTGAATGGAGAAAGTGTTGAGAGAGTCTAGAATTTGAGAAATGCTCAACTTTATGCAAATGAGGAGTGCAAAATACCGGCCAGCAGCAAATACCTGGAGTTTCAGGTACGACATTTGTCATGAACTTTTAAAAATAGTTTCCGGAAATAGTAAATCATTTTTCAACTGAACATAATTTCATGAGTGATCAGCAGTGATTTACGATGCAGTTGTTGATGACTTGGCCACTAAGAAGTCCAGGCGTTTGCAGTTTTGAAACAGATCCTT